AGAAAATAATATTATGTGGAAAGTCAGACTGCATCAATATTCACAGTTCACCCTAGTACTTCCTTCTTATTGGAGGGAAGTTGTCTGTTCTAGAGCTTTGACTAGGATATTTCAACTTGACTTTAAGGGCAGAAATATTCCACATGAAAGATTAGATATGAGGCTTTCTGTACTTTGGTCTGAGATATGAATTATTAGCATTACTCTGAAAGCATTAAAAAACCAAATTATAAAACCCCACCCATGATGAAACTAACTCCATTTTGAAGATCATGAGTTTTGAATAAGCTTCACTGATTTTCTGAGATCATAAGTACAGCCCAACATGCTCAACAAGTGGGATCATCAGACTCGAGTGCCATGGGAAAATAAGCTTATCTCATCTTTAATACTATTTCCTCTTTTCTTGACTTCTTGACTTGTTTTAAAAGACCTATTTAGAGAAAAGAAGAAGAAAAAAGTAACACTGGAGGTGCCACTTGAGTTGGTAAATCATTAAAGAACTTAAATCTGAATTGGGTAATAAAACAAAGTACACCAAAGATTTCAAACCTCTGACCAGAAAAAAATTCTTAGAACTTGCCAGAGTTTAATGACTTTTAATAAGCTTCTTCTTCCTGCTTATCAAGAGCAGTGTCACACAGGTACCTCTTCCTGCACCAAACCACTGTTCAGAACTGAGCCTTCAAATTTCAAGAGCTAAATTTGCAGCTGATAAGGCTCCTGCCTATATATATCACCTTGTCTTCCAGCCCACCGGGTCTCTTGTCCATAGTGGTACACAATGGAGCAAGAATGCAAGATGAGCCTTCAATCAGTGAAGCCCTCTGAAAGTGCAGTGAGATCAGAAAGACCTAAAGGGACCAAAACTTAGTGGGTCTAAAATACCAAAAAGCAGTATTCCCGCATCTTGCCATGAACTTTGCTACTTCCTGCAGTAGCCAGGCCTTGAGCCAACAAATTGCTTTTATGGCTGTTTAACTTCAACTGCACCAGCAGCTTCCCTGCAGTCAGTAGGATTATTTGTATGATAAATATTGACAACTGTAAATGTGCTGGCTTGGAGCTAACAGACATTTCCTTGTCACAAAAGGCTGTTCCTTCAAAGAAAAGAACCACCTTTAGTGGCAAAAGGAAAGGTCTGCTTAGGGAAAATGGGAAGTAGAAATCTACCTGAGTGTAGAAAAGGGTGGGTTTAGCTGTGTTGGCTGGTACTATAACTTCTTTTAGACTGCCTGGGACTAACTCATAGATGGCTCTGTTAGAGTTCTCATCTACCCACTGGAAGTGTGAAATGCCATTACTAAAGAGTCAGTGGTGTCTAGTGACCTCAGAAAGCCTGGAGCTGTGTCACCTGAGGCAATGGAGTTGTTTTCCATCCATTCCTGCCATAAATGAAAGCAAAAAGTGTTAAAGTTTGTCTGGGTATTTCTTTTTAGTTTTCTAGTGTAGTAACCTATATTTAACTTCAACTTTTAAAATTAAAAACCTGATCTTTTCAGTTCCTATTTCTACTAACAGTCCCTATTCATTTACATAAATATACAGATGGAAAGCTATTTTCAGAAGTGTTCAGCATTGGCTTATATTCTGTAGAACTCAGCAGTAAAACTCCTACTGATTTTTACTTGGGAGTAGAACTATGTCAACTCTGAACAGTTTTGAAAAGCACAATTTAAGCATCATTTTGACTAAATGCTGCCCAGGTATAATCCTGAAGAAATGAAGTCAAAACATCTAATTAAAAATGTCACCATATTTCCAGTCCGCATTTTCTCCTTAATGTGGGTGCCTTGCCTGTACAGGCAGAGACAGAACAGAAAATAAGTCAAATATTTCTTATGGATTCTACTTAATTCAAGCTGCTGTTATGACATGTTTACCTAAAATGCATTGGAAACATAACAGCCATTTTGTATCCTTGCTGCGATACATAACTCCTTTCCTTTTTTCTTTCCTTTTTTTTTTTTTTTTGAATGCAGGAATCTGAGAGAATTTAGATAATTTATGAGGTTGAGAAGTGTACTATTAACCTCTGACTAAAGACAGTATATGATGCAGATCGTTAATCACAGTAATTCCTATCTATTTACATTCATAGATATGTACATGGACATTTATTTTGATAATTTAGGCCCCCTGGTTTTTAACATATTTCCCCGTCAGATTCAGGTGCTAAGAATGAGGCTGTGGTTTCAGGATAATTTAAGCATACATGGGTTGAGATGACTACACAAACAAAGCTCACCAAAATAGATAATGCTTGGTTTAAGTGGCTGTGGAATTCCACCAGAATATCTTGAGTACTTCTTGATGTGAACTGGAGATTGTAGGATTGTTCCCTTCAAATCCTGTCTGGTATCTGCTTTTGTTGATCACAATGAGACCGGGATCAGCCTGTTAGCATGCAATAAGAGCAATAAATGTCCTGCTTTCTTAAACATTTTTCATAAGATTAAGTGATCAGTGATGGTTCAATCAGTTTCAAATGTCTCCAGTGCTGCTGCAATGCTAATGTGTTACTTCCACCAGCTCACATGATTAATGGAAGTTGGGGCTGTTTTTCTCATCTAGACAGATAGAGACATCAATAACTATCTTGACAGATATATAGCTATAAAATTCACCACAGTGAGTGTATCTGGTTACATATATTTATATAAGTGTATATCATATATATATTTAATATAGTTATGTATAGAAATAACTTCTGGGTATAGATATAATGTTTAAGTGACAGGAGGAGGGGGACAGAATAGTTACTTTCACAGTGTGTCAGTAAGAGCTGTACTGCATTTGGTATAAAAAGCATGAGAAGTCAAATAGAACAACTTTGATATTGCACCCACTCATGTTGGATTTATCCACTTAATTTCCTGCAAAATTTTTTTTCATTTGAGACTTTAGAGTCTGAACACCAGTATTTATATCTGTTTATTATTTTCAATATATTTAGGTTTATAGCCATGGTTTAGTAGATATATCGTACAGCTATTATGATATAAATAGTTGTACATTATACTTGGAGATGCTGCTAACTTTTCATTCATTTTCTCTGCCATAAAAATTTCTCTGTCTCTGAAGACTGAATTTATGTTCAGAATTTTGAGCCAATGACAGATATATTTGTCACCTCAGCTGTGCTGTACAACCTCTTGCCACCTTTTTAAAAATGTGGGGTTGTTTTTTTTAATTTGAAAAACAATTGAGACTCAATTTGGAGCAATGAATGCATAAGTAAAATATGTCAGGCGATTGATTTGAAATAACCTCGGTGATTTCAGAGTCAGTTGACTTCAAGTAAAATGAAGTCAACCTCAAACAAATTGCTTTTCAAAATAGAACTTTGTGAGCTTTAACTGGATATTGGCTTTTACAGCTGGATCTGACTCCCTCTGTGATTCTGTAGTTCAGTAGCTCATAGTAAACTAAACTGAGAGCTAATTCTCAGGCAGGTCTTTCTGTTATGTACAACGATAGGCTTTTTGTAAGCAGGTGTCAGAATCTGTTCCCTCTATGCTCTGTGTTGATATTATGAAAAAAGTGGATGGTTCTTCAGGTGTCTAATATGACACTGATCCTCTTTAACTCCTCATATTTCCATGCTAATATAAAAGCAGCTGCATCACTTTCAACGTTTCACTAGTAGCTCGTTAAAAAAATGCAAAGAATAGTGTCAGCATCTCTGTTACAATGAATATTTAGACATCCGCACCTCCGGGTGCCTGAAGGCACCCACCTCGTTGATCTGCAGAGGTGCTGGGTGCTCAGGGGCAGGGCAGGGGTAGCCCACAGCCCTCTGGCCCCACCAGCCACTGAGGTGGAAGGTACAGTGTGTACAAGCCCTCTGCACCCCGTGAGAGCAGGTTATGACACTGGATCTCATGACAGGAGCTTGGCTTTAGCTTACCCGTATGCAGAGTCTAGTTTTAGAGTCTTATCTGTACCATTTGTCTCACAAATCCTGCCAAGGGGGAAGGAAATTTCACCTATTCTACTCTCAGTATGTTTTTGTGTCTCTGCTATAAGTCAGAGAACAATATGTCCATTTTTGTGTGTGCGTAAAGGAATAAGGCAGATGTATGCCAAATCAACTTGAAAAAATATTTTAAAATCCTTTTGCTGAGAGAAATTGCAGGGTGATTACAAAACACAGAGGATCTAAGGATGGCATTGTTCTTGTATACAGAATAGGCTGCAGTTCTTCATTGCAACCTCCCTCCCCCCCCTTTCTTCCACACTAAACCATCCATTACAAAGCTCCTGCAGTCACTGATTTATGTGCTTGTGATCAAACTTTCCTGCTTCTAATACTGTGAGCATATTATAGAAGATGGTTGCGATTTCTAGACGAACTGAGCGTGCCTGTTCCTGTGTTGGTGTGCAGCTGCTTGTTATGCTCCTGGCCTCTCATCAGTGATTTCAGTCTTACTATGAGACTCTACAGAAATTAATATCTTAGAAGAGTTCATTTATATTTTGATGATCACCTAATCTGCATTGCTGCACTGTGCAATATGCTTTGTGATAACACTCCATGATACCAAAATCCTGGTAGCTACCCTACAGCCAGTTTTCAAGGCCACATGAGATGATACGAGTCCTTGTCCCAGAACAATATCAACTGTCTCACCAAGTAATCTGATCTGTACTTTCTCATGTGTGCATATTAGCCTGAGCACATTATTTTGAGCACCAGCTAATAGATGAGGAAATGCCTCATGTTCCACAATTACGTGTGAATTTCTGAGGACACTGAGTCAGCTCACCTGGCAAATGTGAATTACAGCTGCAGGGAGGGTCCACACCAGGACTCAGCAAGCAATGTAATATTCTGAAGTTTCCTCCTCCTCCCTTCTTACATTTTATTTTGCAAAATAAATTTACTTCTGTATGATAACTATAGGAGGCATTAGTGATCTCTACAGTGTGTTAAAATATAGAAAGCCAACAGGAGCAATACTTTTAATTTAAAACAAGTATGTTTCCTTTATTTTCAGGTCTAACACTTGGCTTGAACTGTGGATCTTGAGAAAAAAACTACCAGCTTTTGGTAATAGGGATGGAGGGGGAATTATTTTACTTTCCACTTTGTTTCCTCTTTAATAACAGCCTCACATATATAGGCACTGCACCATGACACTCTTTCAGAGCCTCCTAGTATGAATTTACAAACGGTGAGCTAAGGGAGTTACAAATGCACACTTTAGCCTCTGCCTCCCACTCCTCCCAGCATAGCACTGGGAATGCAAATGGACCTTCACTGTGGAGGATGATGGCAATTGTCAGAGTGAAAGCCCCAGTCACTTACAGAGAGCGTCTGGGGCCATGGAAGCATCACCCTTGTTTACAGCTCCCATACAGCTCTACTGCAGCCACAGTCTTTCAGGTAATGCTTTTAGCCTTTCAAATGGCTGTATAGGGAACAAAGAGACAGACAACTGTGGCACCTACAAACCCCACTGCTGCTGAAATAATTGAACCTGTGTAACAGTTTCTTGGGTTGGGTGCTTTTTGCCCACATTGGAAGTGCAGGCTTATGGCTCAAGAGACTCCCTTGTCAGCTGCTGAATATCAGTGGAGCTGTGTTCCAGCTGAATTTGTCATTTATAACATAAAGGCCTCAGACTTCATTTCGTCTTAACAGTCTCTGTTAGCTGTTTCAGATTTTAACAGCCTTCAGAAAACTACTACATTTTTTCTGCACAGACATTTGAGGAAAGGCTAAATTATGTGGTGAGTTCAGCCTGCTATAGCTAAGTTGAAGAATGGGAACGCTTTTCTTAAAGTTTGTTGACAAACAGTTTCTCTGTATTAAACGGAGTCTGATAATGTTCTTGCATTTATTGGATTTAATTTTGCAATTGCAATCTTGCTGGGTCTTTCAAAATTGAGTCAAGCATTGTATTTCTAGCAACAGGTGGTAGGATGGGTCTTTGAGCATCCCAACCTGCTGTGTTAGCAATTAAGCAGGTATTTTGGGATCTGAGACACTATGCTGAAAGAATCAAAATAACAATGTATTTTCTCCTTCTGTACAAATGTCTTCAGTTAACTGAACTCAGAATCTAAGATATATTTTTTGTGTATATATACACACATACATAACCATCTGCTAAACTTCCTGTCTTTTTATTTCAGTTCCAAAACACTGTTGAAACAAAGCATCATGTCTGACTTTGTACAGACAGCTTCTTTTGCCCAGCCAGAGGCCTCTTTTTTTATCTTGAGGTCCATTCAGGCATCCGTGGAAGGCTTACATGGGCTGGAAAAAGTGGAAGCTGATTCAAAAGTACCAAGATTTTTGTTTAATAACTTCACTACCTTCAAGTAGAGTTGGCTGATTTATCAGCAGCACTCTTCTCTCATGTACAAAGTCTGCAAGAGAAATAAGGTGTGTATTAATATGTTCAATCTCATACCATGAAAGAGGAGGTAACAAGAGTCCAAAAGCTGGGAGGAGCGTTCATGGATTCCTGGTCTTTGGGGCTGGGCAGAAAAAATGACAGACAGCAGGACAGCTCTGGGCAAAGCTACAGAAGAGCTACATCCCATGGAGGGGACCCTGGTGTGGGGAAGGCTTGAGAGCTGTGTCTGTGGAGAGATGGGTAAAATATTGGGGAAACACAGGAAGAAAAACACAGGAGGGGATGAAGTAAATTTTTGAAAGCAAAAAAATAAATTACTTAATGACTTCTGAATAGTGCTAAAAAAGCTTACTAGTACACTCAGATATTGAGAGAAATCAAAGACATCCTGTTGGTAGCCTCTATTTTTGTTAAGTATTAATGATTTGGGATATTCACACCACAAACTGCAATGTTGATTTATCTAGGAAGACAAATCACAGCAGAACAAGCTGCTGAAAGGATGCCAAGAGGACCATAATCATCTCATCTGGTGGCCTTCATGACATGCAAAGATCACATCATAACTTTCAGTTAAATGAGTGCAAACAGCCACGTGTGATTTGCTCTGGAGTTCCTGTGGAATTAGATGTTCTCAAGGGTTTACTTTAATCATTCAGAAATGCTGATTGTTTTCTGAGGAATGCCAAACATGACTTGTCTGAAAAGAAATTGTTGGGAGAAGCATGTTAGTATTAAGTGGTTTGCATATAGGACAGTAAGGAAAAACACCACCAGAAAGCCTGCACTTGCAATACTTGCCTAGTAAACTGATCACACACAAGGCACGAGGCCAAAAATATCTAGGAAGATTCAGTGCATGAAGTGGGGAAAAAAAAAAGGAATAGATGTTAAACTCTGATTCTGCTAGGAATATTTGCATTATGTAGTAATTGGGTAAACAGAATCAAATGAAGAAGCGGATATCCTAAAGATCTCCCCTTTACTGACACCATCAGCAAGAATGACAGCATCTGCCAACAAAGGGAGAAGCCATAATACCACCATATTTGTTTGGCATGGAGTGGTGTCCATGTATGTTCACATCCTAAGCACTGGAGCAATTACTGTTGTTCGCATCTCCATTTCATTTCCTCGGCTGAGCACTCCGGGGATTTTGGACTGTGATTTCATTATTCACTTGGCTCTGCCGTTTGTATTGTGTACCTGCTCCAGCAGATATCATCAACTCTTAATACTCCTGTGCTATGCAGAACAAATCATTTGCATTTGAGAAGGTCGCTATGGCTACTGGCTACCTAACTGTGTACTGCATCTGTAAAAGCCAAAACTGAAGGTGCTTTGCAGAATTCAGACAAGGATCAACTGTTCACTCCTTGAAATCATATCCGCACCCATTGTTGTGGATAACAGCATGTACTTGTGTAGGGTTGATTAGGTACAATCTCTTTCTTCCTATTTTGGATTAATATTTAGACAGCCTCTTTCTCAGGGCTGCAGGCTGACTCCAAAGGAAAAAAAAAATGTCTCTAGAGGACACTTGCATGACGGTCAGCAGATTAGTTATACCTGCAGTGGTTCAAAGTGTAGCATAAAGCCTAAAGGTTTTCCATTAAAATTAATGTTGTGCTATTTGAAAATACAAATTCCTCCTGGAGTTGTCTGAAATAAATCTGGTCATTTATGCTGTAGTACTTTTCAGAGTACAGAAAAACTCCTTAAGTGGAACTAATACAGAAAGTGCCAGCTCAGCAGGACCCGAGCCTTTAACTAGCAGAGGTTCATTCAGAAATACTAACTCTAGTACTTTGTTCTGTTCCACACATGAATCACAAAGGCAGTGAAACATTATTATCCCCTATAAAGAAAATAGTGAGCTCTGAAGTGAAGCGACTCCAGAAGGAGACAGTGAGTCAGCATCAAAGTCTGGACCAAAAATCAAGTTTGCCAACTTGGAACCCTCTCCTCCGAGATGAGAACAAATGGAGAAATCATCTCTGTGAAAGCACTGGCTGCAGTATTGTTCAGAAAGAATCTGTCTGAGGAAGTATCCCTAATACAAATAAAATACAGCTGACAATTCCACTAATTACACTAGTTTTGTTGGTGTAAAGGAAATAGGCCACTGCCATCAGAAATCCAGTGAACATTGGTAAGTGGCAGGGTTCCTGTAAAACCACTTGCACATATTTGGAGATATTTGGCAATGCTGTCATTGTGTCCATGTCATGGGCTGCCTGTCCACCTTCAGAAGCCATGTACAAGTTCTGTTCTCTAATTCATTTGGTTATGAAGCAGGTTGAAGTGGTTTATTGCCTATTATAGAGTAATATCAGCATTTGTGGATAAGGTCCACTTGCTTCATGAGTATTCAATGAAAAACTGAATGGCTGAACAATGTTTGCACATACATAATATATTAAAATGAAAAGGCTGTAAAATAATATTAGACATCATTTGCACAAAAAGATCCACAGGCAGAGCACAGAAGTGGCCAAAAATGAAACATGCTTGCTCATCACTTGGAAAGTTATCACATTAAGATTGAATAACAAAGCTCAACAATTAAAGGCAAAATCACATCTGGACACAGTTTGGGATTATTTGCTGGAAGCACTGTATTAGATTTGAATGTAAGCCCTATCTTTTCTGTGTTCCTTCTTTGGGAAGAAGATTTCCATTGTTTGTCCTCTTGTGAGGTGGTAGTGGGCTTCATTGTTCTCCAGCTATGACAGCTTCCAAGGTCTGATAAGGCTGGATTTCTAGTCTGAGATGAAAAGTACAAAAAGCAAGGAAAAAAGTGTATTGGACTTTCTGTACAGATCCTGAAAGAAGATAGAGAATGGAAAATAGGACACAATCTCTGTTCTTTTCCCTATGAGCAGGTCATGTCTAAATTTTGTAGACATCACAAACAGCTTTCAAAAATGCTTTTACTTCTGACCTTCCAGTGGGTAACTTCATGAAATCCTAAGCAAATATAGTCACTGGTGTTTAGTGGCTGTAAATGGAAATACCTGTTTCATAGACATCTCCCAGTACCTTTGACTTTTCCCCATCTTTTAACTTGAGCCTTTCCTGCTCTCCCCAAAGGTGTGAAATCTCACTCATAGCCACAGGCAAAAGGGAACTACAGCCTTCCCACACGCCCACCTTGAAAAGGAAGCAGGCTTGGCTGATCCAGAGAAGCAGCAGTTGAAATGCTTTTTGATTTTAGCACTAGGAAGAAGTGATTACAAAAAGCTACCAAGCCAACTTAAAATAAAAGGGCTACATGAATCTATTTTGGTTTTCCATCATCCCATCCAGAAGCTTTTTTTTTTTTTTCCCCAGAACTTGCAAAGAGCTTCCTTCTGATTGCCTCCATTGTTTCAGGGAAGAATTGTTTTTGAATGATCTCCATCAGCTTTTAGCAGGATGTTGCTTATTTGCAGCCATGGTGCTGCCTTCCCAATGGCTGAGTTTAGAAGCCAACTGGTTAAAACAAATTGCAGAGCAAATCCTTCCCTAACCCTTCAAAACCATATGATCATTATCCTAACAAGCAGATAACAGTGTTGAATTATTGCAGCTAAGGCTGCCATTGTTGCTGTTTAACTAATTTTAATTTACAGGTTGTGTTGTGTCACTGGTGTGTATTTCTTAAAAGCATCTACTATCTGTACTTCTTGTATATACTTTGCACCTGAACATTCAGGGGGGAGGCTCGTCTGTTATGTGCCCGTCAGAGATCTCTCAAATTCAGCCAGTGTGGCTCAAGCAATTCC